GGGTCCTGGGCAGGAGTCCGGGGAGGGTGTCTCCGGGTTGCTGGTGCGCTCGGGACGTGCGGGGGCGTGGAAGCCGCTGGGGCGTGGCGGGGACCGGGGCGGGGGACGCTGCGGGGGAGCCGAGGGACGAGGGGCGGGGTGGCGCACGCTGTGCGGGACCCGCAGGGAGGGAGGCGACGGGGGCGCGGGGCCAGGGTGGGGCCGAGGCCTCCGGGCGCTCGTAGGAGGGGCGGGGCGCGGCGGGGCCGCAGGTGACTCGGGAGCTTCGAGGGGTCTAGGGGCCCCCGGAGGGAGCGGGGGACACGGCGGAGGCTGGAGGGAGTGCCGGGCACGGCGGGGACGCTTCTGACACCCGGGCGGGCGGGCTAGGGCCATAGCGAGCCTGAGGGTGCCCCGGGGCGCAGAGGGGTCGCAGGTGACTCCGGGTCGAGGAAACAGGGTCGAGGGGAGCTTGGCTGGAGGACAGAGGCTGCCCACGAGCACGGACGAGGACGTGCAGGACACGGGGGTCGTGGAGGGGGCTCGGGTTCAGCAGGGCCCAGGGTCGGGGCGCGCCGGGCTGGGGCTGCAGCTGTGGGTATCTGGAGTGCAGCTGTCGCCTGCAGGCCTGGAGCTCCGCGCGGGTCCCCTGGAGACGACGACGACGACGACGACGACGAAGCCGCCTCTGCTAGGCCCTGCTCCAGCCGGCGGAGTCCTCCCGCGCGCCCAGGAGAGCCCAGGCGGTCAGCCCCACTGTGCGCCAGGCGACGAGCGCGGAACCATGCCGGGTGAGTCGGCGAAGGCTTTGCGTTCAGCCTCCCTGTTCCTTGTGGCACCTGTGAGATCCATCTGATCTGGAGAGACCGCCGCTGTGCCCCCACAGTCTCCCCAAGCCCCTCGCCTCCCCAGTGCCACCCCAGTGTTTCCGAGCTTTCGCAGAGCCTGGTGCTGCCAGGTGGGCGGAGTTGGGGGGAGTCTCACCAGCGGGGAGGGGCCATTTATAGAATGGGCAGGGGGCTTGGAGACTCTCGAATTTTCCTCCTATCAGTCGCGGCCCGGGGAGTTCCAGTGTGGCTGGTTTCTTGGCCACAGGATTGCACTGTGTGGGGTTCTCAGCAACCGGGCGACAGATAGCAGGCTCGGGTCATCTCCCCGCACCGCAGCAGGCTTAGGGTGGCCGCCCGCCTGGGACTTAAGGCTGGGCCTGACCCCGAGGGCTCAGATCCAGCCCTTCGCACGTGGCCTTGGGTTTTGTGGACGTCAAACGTGGACACTTCAGGGAGCCACACAATTAGGTGATTAGCATGTGACGTTCGCGCCCCGAGAAAGATGCCTGTCCTCCTGCTGGCACAAAGCCACCCCCCGTCTTGCACCAGACCAGACGTGACCGTGCATGAGCCCATTAGAGAAAGAAAACAACAACAACAACGTTACTTTTTATTCAGAGGTTGGTAAATCTGTGCTTTCCTCTATCTCTGGCCTTAGAAAGGAGAATTGTTGAGCGGGGACGCAGGACCGTGGTTCCCTGTGGTTCCCGCTGTTAAGAGTCTGTTCTCAGGAGGAGGTAAACAGGTCCTGTGTTGCAGGGAGAGGCCTGCGTTCCTGCCCAGGGGAAACCACCTTCCCGAAGCCGCTGGGGCCTGTGGATAATGGCAGCATTCAGTGAGAGGCGTTGGGACACATCCCGGTCAGCCCTGCAACGTGCTCCAAGACCCCAACTGTGGATTCCACATTTTCCTTGGGTGGGGGCGGGGGGAACAGAAACCAGCTTTGAGTAA